AGAGGAGAGGAGAGGAGAGCAGGAGGGGAGGGGAAAGAAACTCAGAGCATCATGGGGCCCCCCAGCAGCCTAGGCCTATAGCAGCATAACTAAGGGAAGGCTCAGGGTCACCTGATCCAGCCCTAACTATAAGCTTTATCAAAAAGGAACGTCTTAAGTCTAATCTTAAAGGTAGAGAGGGTGTCCGCCTCCTGAACTGAGACTGGGAGTTGGTTCCATAGGAGAGGAGCTTGATAGCTAAAGGCTCTGCCTCCCATTCTGCTTCTGTGGACTCTAGGAACCACAAGTAAACCTGCACTGTGAGAGCGAAGTGCTCTGTTAGGATGATAAGGCTCTACGAGGTCTTTAAGATACGATGGAGCCTTGTCATTAAGGGCTTTGTATGTTAGGACAAGGATTTTAAATTCTATTCTGAATTTTACAGGGAGCCAGTGGAGAGAAGCTAATATGGGAGAAATATGATCTCTCTTGCTAGTTCCTGTCAGTATTCTGGCTGTAGCATTTTGGATTAACTAGAGGCTTTTTATGGAATTATTGGGACATCCTGATGGTAAAGAGTTACAGTAGTCCAGCCTGGAAGTAACAAATGCATGGACCAGTTTTTCAGCATCACTTTGAGACAGGATGCTCCTGTCTACATGTATCCTGTATGTATTAGAGATTGACCAATATTTTTAGATATTGATGCAACAATAGCCTCACAGAGGAAAATCAAAATGATTATCAATGGACAGTGAATGGAATCATCTGTTTTGTTTTGCAGACACTATTGGGCCTTCAAGGTGGAACCATACTCCTACATGGTTAAAGTTGGTGTGGTGTCTGACTCGAAGCTGGTGGAATGGTTTCACAATCCTAGAGATACCAGCAGCCCAAGGTAAATACAAGCCCATGTCTATGTACTACACACAACACGGTTTGCCCATAGTAGATGTGTGGAGAAACGGAAACCTTTCTATAACTCACTGCAATATACACAGATGCACACAATCTCAGTACAGGGGTAATTGTGCTCGAGTCCAGTGATGTAAGAAAATGTTCATGTCATTCTTGCTGGATGTGTTTGATTTGATCGGGTCATGTAAAGAGCACAGTTGCATAAATAAATTTGAATTCTATAGTAATTGCATAATGGATGCAAGGTGACTATAAAAAAAAAAAAATTCAAAGTGTGTAGTTTTCCCTCCTAAATAAAATGCCTGAAATCATCACAAGTCCTTGTTTGAGAAACATGGGTCCAAGTGTATTTTGAATTGAGGCAGATTATCACTGCCTCAGTTTTACACCTGGTTAACAGGCTTTCACATAAGATGTAACATTGTCCATTTGACACAGTGTAACAAACCTGTCTCTCTGTTCCCCCTTTCTTTTAACCAGGTTTGACCATGACAGTGGACATGACAGCGGCAGTGAGGACGCGTGCTATGACGTGTCCCAGCCCTTCACCCTCCTCACACTGGGCATGGGAAAACTCTTCATCCCCAAGGCCACGTCGTCATCCTCTGTTTCTACCGCAAACGCATCGTCCGGTGACCCTGGCAAGCGTGTGCTTCCCATGCCACTGCGCTTGGGTGTATGCCTAGATTATGACACGTGCCGGGTGTATTTTTATGATGCTGACAGCATGAGGTGCCTTTACGAGAGGCAGGTAGATTGTTCGGGAATAATGTATCCAGCCTTCGGCCTCATGGGAAGCAGCAAGATTCAACTGGAGGAGTTGATCACCACTAAAAAACTGACCTTCTAAGGAGGTGTGGAGTTTACTGCTTTAGGACTTATTTAATCTTGGCATGTTCTAGAAAGAGCTGGTTTTATTGACAGGGTGATAGAATACAATCCAGACTGAATGTCAGCAGAGGCAAATGTGATCAGGACCTTTGGTCTAGATGTGAAAATGGGATCTCTGCCAGAGATTGGCCTGTATAATGGATGATCCACTGATGATGATGATGATGACACTGAATCAGTGTCCACATACAGAGGTCTTGAGAAATTGGTATAAATGTGAAAGGTCTACATACCAAAGTCTCTGCATCTGATAATTGTCTTTGACCTGATTTTTTAAATTCTGCTGCGTTAAACTATTAACCACTGGCTACCAAGTTAATCTGCTGCCAGTCTTCATTATTTTAACATGAAATGCCTTCCATCTTACACTTTTTCTTTTGCTAGATTTAAGATAAAGTTGTGTGTATTGAGTGGTTCGTGTTTCTGTAACTGTTTAAACATAGCAGCATAGGTTTAGATGTAATCTTAATGTCTGGACCTGAGCCTTGTGACCGCTTTTGAAGCTAGTGCCTTTATTTAATTTATTTTCTAAGGAAATTGGTCACTTTGTTCTGTCAAGCAGAAGTTGTCATTGCACAAGCATTACAGAAATGCTAATAAGCATAAATACTTGGTGGTTTCAGACCCTGGTGTCAAAGTTAATGGTTCATTATGACTTATTTACCTTATTACAGAAACACTACTTTTGCTTTGTGCTCTTTTGCACAATATGGTATGAAGCATTACATGATAAACTACACAATCTCATTTTGATCACGCCTTAGTTTGATTCTTCACTTCAAATGGTGCAGACATGCTATAGTCAGCATATTCTCATTTTGTCACGCTCGAGCATTCACCTTCACTAACATAAACCTGAATCTAGGAGTAGCTGCTTGCATTTAAAAGCCTCTCACTGTTTGCACTCTCCTGTGCCACAGCGCTGAATGTGACATAAAATAACAAAGCCTAAAGCTAGCAGGTATGATACCATGTATTTGCAGTCAACATCACTTTGACTATTAATGGCTGCATCTGTCAAAGCTTGTTTGGATACTGGTGCTGACTTGAGTGTTGCACTCTTTGTCTTTAAAGTGCTATATAGCTAGACTTGCTCAGTGCAACACAGCTTTGTGGCCTCACAGCTGTTAAACAGTTTACAAAGAATGCAGTAATTCAGGTTCTTACAAGAAGTGCTATTGCAAAACACTGTTCACCACTCTTTGCTATCAACACCACCGTTTACTTGTAGTACAGTGACATGAAGTGTAGCACGTTAGCATCTCACTAGTGAGTTTGGCTCTGACACCTACAAGTGGTTGAGTTGGCTTTGATTAAATTAGCTCGGATGTTTACGCAAGTCTGGACTGTTTGCTGGACAACCGCACTTGGCTTTATGTAGACTGGATTTATTTAGAAGTTCATGTACACAATATTTTGATAAGGGAATCATTTCCTCAGGTTTTTGGCCCTGATAGGGGCCCAGTGCTTCCTACCATGATCCATCAGGCCTGGGAAAACCTTAACCGATGTACCTTTCCTCACATAAGTTTGACTTGCAGCTTTGTTCATAGGTCCAATATCTTTACCTTCTCTTTAATGGCGCATTATAAGCTTTTTTTTTTTTTTTTAAGATTCTTTGTACATAGTATTTCCACTGAAATAAATTATGTCTTATGTTATAGTTGGTGTTTGCTAGTGGACACGACTGTTGTGATTGCTGTATGCAGATGTTTCAGCTGCTTTTGTCAATTGAGTGTCACATGGCACTTGTTCGTCCTTCTACATGAATTGGGTTGGATTAGTTAACTTGTATTGGTTATAGGTTATGGAACACATTGGGTTTTGTTTTGGGGCAAACACATGTTCCTACGTTTAGCTGGACAGAAGTAGTCCAGTCCCAACAGTGTTGGTGTGGGGGGGGGGGGGGGTGGGGGCGGGGTGCATATTGCGTCTAATGTGTTACTGTCAATTATTTTCACTGCGATCTTCAGACTTGAACCCTGTTTTCTGAATTTTAAAATTGTTTGGACATCTTTTAAAACCACAAACTGATGTATAGTTTTATTTTTATTAAAGAATGTATGTGTTAATTACAGAACACATAGCTGAATGTTTTTGTGAATTTCTGCTTTGTTTCACTTGGTCACAAAACATTTGTATGTAGTTACAGAAATCTGAAAATAGGCTTGTAATCTCAACTTTCAGTAATGAATTTACAACCAAATATTTTGCAGACTGGCTCTCAATCAAATTCCAAGTTAGCACTTTAAAGTCTGCAGCTGTTTGGCTCTGCACATGTGTATAATATCTGTGCAATATTAAAAAGGCTGTGGAGCCCAAGAGAACAGTTTAGACAGCCATGGGGTTATTGAGATAATGTGCACTATTAATTTGTAATGGGCTTTTCCTTGAATTTCAAACACTACTTGGTTTTCTTAGTAGCACTCAAGTTGTCTGAATTCTAGATTAGTGACACTGCACCCTTGTCTTCTCCAGACGATTTGGCTATAGTGTGTGTGTAATTGGTGTGGGTGTGTGTGTGGTATGTAAATGTGGAAATAGTTCTTTGCTGTGTGGGGATTTAATCAAATAAAACTAGTGTTTTTAAATGTTCTCATATCTTGTTTATGCAGTTATAGTTGGTTTTGGTTTATTTAATTATATATATATATATAAAGAATTTATCAGCTGTGGTAGGCACACACCTATTTAGGCAACCTTTTTTTATTTTTCCTCTTTCTCAGTCATTCCTTGCAGAATGCTTACAGTTCAGAAATGCTGTCCTGCATACACTGCACATTTGAGACCCACAGATCTAGTGTATTTACATACCTGGATACTGTGAAAGCATTGCAAAACTGTAATCATAACTAGTTCATGTTTAGAATGTTTGGTTTTTTACATTATACTTGTTTCAGTAGGACATTTGCTTTCAGGAATGGTGTGTGAATGTGCACAAACAAAGATTACAGGGACATAATTTAAGTTCCTGAGCTGCCTTTACACTGTTGGACTACATTACATACAAAATGAGCTTTTACCTTTTGCAAAGTCATATTTATATATTACTAAATGCATATTGATTTACAATGCTATTTAAATTCTTAACTTTTTGTGTTTAATCCTAACTCCATATTTTGACTATTTCAGTCTCTGTACATCTCACTGTTACAATTTCTACATATTTGCCATATATTTTGTAGCTTTGGGGTTTTGTGCTTCATTTTGCATCCAGTACTGTAAAATGTACCGATGTTTGTCACACAATGCCATCAGGGAGGCATTTGATCAGCCTCAAATATTGATAAGTTTTACTTCGTCTTTTAATTAAATCCAAAATGTTACTTTTAACTTTTAGCAGTTAAGTAAATACAAGCCATTGTTTGATGCGGTCTAGATAGAAGAAAAACGGTGAAATCCAAATCTAGTAGGGCTAGCCTATGATTCTGCAATTGAAATCCTCATAGGTGGTGGTCTAGGTGGGAAATGTGCCGATGTTAACGTCGTGCCCCAAGATGGGTTTATTGATGATAATCTTCGGGGAAACTATCCAGGGATCCACCTGCTGAAGGATGCTGGGCTGTGGAAGTAGGAGGAGCAGGAAGACGACGTCATGCACGCGACCTGTCGTCGTAACGCGGAAGAGACGGAGGAGGAAAGAAGTCTCCACGTCACTGAGGTGTAATATTGGTGTCAGTACAACACAAGGTGTTAGCTACCCCAGGACGCTTTCAGTACCGTTGTACAATATAATTACAGACTCCTTCCTGTAGGTTATCCCGTGTGAGCCCAAAGCGAGGATCGTGTATTTCGGCACTGAGTGGCCTCGGTAGAGACACCGGGACTCCGCTGAAGGTAACGGACGTTAACCGTCGTTTGTGTGTTTGGCTGCCTGCTGCTAGCTAGCCCGGCTACTGTGCTTCATACGAGCACCGGTGACCTTTGCAACTATAAAGAACCGACACAGTGCATTTTATGGATACAAAGTCGTAGGGAGCATTAACCCCAGAGTCCACACGGACACGGCTAGCTAGTCTGGAGGCTTCACAGCGCTGTCGGTTTGGAGGTTGTTGGTGCCCCGCTGGGCTGCTGCTGGTTACATGCATCTCTCCATCTCATGCACACTCTACTATCTGACAATTAGTAACTGCTAATTTATGCGCACACTAACGGCAACACACAGTAGCAGCCGGCAACAGTGGGTTGTTGTGATTTTGATGTTGCAGACTAAAACGTGGAGAAACCTCCGATCACTAATCATTAAAAGGTGTTGCTGTATCAGTAACCGAGACAGACTTCTCTGTGACTATAAACAAAAAATGTCGTTATTACTTGGTGCTTCTAATGCCATGTATTTGGTTTCAAATTGGTGAATGATTTTGTGGGTTTGCTTGTGTTCTCTGTGTTTGCAGCGCCTGTGTTGTCAGATGGCATGTTTGTCTTTTGCTTGTGTCTTGACAATTTGCATGTGTTTTCTTATGTCTCAGTACATTGAGCCTGCAGCACCATCGTTTTCTCTGTTAATACATTAGGCCTATTGACATAGATTAGTACAGAGATATTTGGTAAAAAAAAGTAGGTGAATTTTGTGTGGACAGCATCAGCCACCCTAACACCGGAGCCAGCCAGCTCCTTCTATGAAAATACCCCCCCCCCAGGATGAAAGTAATACTTAAACTTAATGAGACACTGTTACATTTGTTTAAAGTAATCTCCAGGTGACATATCAGTCACCAGCTTGTATAAAGTATATTGTTTTCAGTCAGTATTACAATAGTGTGTTATTGTGTGATGTTCCAAGATTATGGGTGGATGAAATATGTGGTTGCCCTTATGAAAAAGCTCCCATTAAGAACCTGTCTTATAGGAAACACCCAGTTCTTTCTTCGCACCTCATACACACCTTAGCTGGCAGATGATCACATATCGGTGTAAAACTATATTTAGCCTATTACAGGCTCATGCTGCAGGGTGTGTTGATAACACCAAGCAAACTACACAGCTGTGCAGGAATAAATGAGTTATGGTACATTATTAGGAGCATGACAGGGGGTTACCATGAACTCCTAGTTATTGATTTTGAAACAGTGCCATACTAACATGTTTTGACTGATATGAGAATGTGCATTAATGTCCTGATTTTGAAACTGAAAGATGGTGCTGTAGTCGAATATGTCAGCAAACCACTATTTTTCTGTTGTTTATGGAAAGTCCTGAAAGGTATTAAACAGAACTTAAGATGAAGAGAATTCACCTGTCTGTGAAGATTTCAACATGCTTCTTTATCCTGTACATTGTGAGGTGTGACAGTGAATGAGGATTTTTATATTGTATTTGTATCGATTATATTACATTGTAATTAAATTTTGTGACTGATAAGAATAATAATATTATAAAAACGATGCTTTCTAAGTTGATATCAGACACAAACCTATTCGGCCTTTGCTTTTACTGGCTGACATTATGTTGTTCACCTATCAATGTTAACGTCTGTGAGAAACTTAACATTGTGGCTCATTGTGGGAAGTCAATGGAAAATGAAAGCACTGAAATAATCGGGAAATGAAACGCTGTAGATTGCAAGCGTCTGTACAATTATTAATCTATTACTGACTGACTGTTGGGCTAGTACGCTCTGAAATGGGCCTGATTTAGACAGTCGAAAGTCACACAAAATTCAAGTCAAACTGTTTGTGCTTTATTTGGTACAACATTATCACTACAGCAGTGTTGAGAAAAGAGAAGAGGAAATGAGATGAGGTGAAGTTCTGCCTCTGTTATGCAGGTCGTGTCACTTTTTGTGCAGTGACCGAGCAATGAGGAAGTTTGCACCTGCTTCACTTCTTCCTGTAGACTTTAGCCAGGGCAGAGTTCATACGTACTTAATTATTGAGGATTTCTTATTACCCCTGAGTGGTAAGGTCACTAACAGAGGCATTATCAATCTGTTTTAATCTCTGTCGAATTAGCTGGAGGATGTTTACCTTGTCTTAATGAACCAGGTCAGAGTGCCATGACCTGGTCAAATGGCTGTGTGGTGGAGTGACAACGTAATGTCTCAAATGTGTTTGACAGCCTATAGTAATCCAGGGCACACAGAGCAAAGTGTGGCAGCATTTTTTTGTGTGTTCACTGTGTATGTCATTATTTTAAATGATAATTGACCTTCTTTGTCATGACAATATTTATGAACATTTTATGTTGAGGTAAAATGGTATGTAAACAGGAATTACATCACTGTGTATTTAAAGCTTAATCAAATTTACTTTCAAGGAGCGACACACTCATAAGCCACTTCAGTAAAGGCTGTTAATGTAAGCTTATTACACAGACCAAAAGCAAAGCACTTCAGTAGCTCTCACAGAAGCAGGTTCTTTAGCATTACAAGGACTGCACTGTCACTGTTAGGCTCATTAATTGCAGATAACTTTAGCATTACAAGGACTGCACTGTCACAGTTAGGCTCATTAATTGCAGATAACAATGAAAATGAATTGTTTATGTCTTTATTTAATGTCTCTCAACACATGAAACTATTGTCAGTTTTTAGCTTGACATTTTTGGTGACAGTGGTGCGGTGGGTAGCATAGTCGTCTCCCAACCAGAAGGTTGAAGGTTCAAATCTCAGTGCCTCCAGTCTACGTGTCGAAGTGTCCTTGGGCAAGACCCTGAACCCCCCCCCCCCCTTATTGGCCATCATACTTTGCCAATAAAGGTGATTGTCCTATTATCCTTATCCTTGGTCGGACGGTGCAGATGAGAGAGTACCTGATGTAGCTAAGCTACAGGCCAGGAGATTAAGTCTTGTCCAGTGTTAAAGTTCATGTTTTTATTCCAATCAGTGTGAGAATTTGGCAAATTTTCAGTTTTTGCCACTGTAAAGTGAATATTTTTGTGTTTTGGCTGTTGACTGGAGTTCTCAGGGGCTTGTTTCATGATTTTTTGACCCAAAAATAAATAAATAAATAAATTGAATGAATTAGTCAATATCTAACATAAGATGGATGTTTCAACGTAATCTAGTCTATGATCTAGAGCAATAGATGGTTTTCATGTCCCACACTAGAGAGTGTACTGCATGGCTACAGATTTATTGTCAAGGTTATTGAGTGTCTTATCACTTACAGGCGCATTAACTAAGATTTTACACATTGTTTGATACATTGGGTGAAAATGGGACAGAACATGGTGTCTTTCAGCTATCCCACCCCCCTCCATGACACTCTGCTGCCTGCAGCCCTTCTATTCCAGCTTCTCTAGACTGTGTTGTCAAAATATAGTCTGCACATGATTCAGGCCTGTCACCTAGTGAAGGTCATAAGAAGTGTGTTTGAACTGCGAGTAGTCATTTAAAACGGCCAGCTGTGGAAGAACTCTTGTGAACTAAAAGTCTGAAACAGTGGCCACCAGACCAAAGAGGTTGCGTTCTTTTGCGCAGAGAGAGCGTGGGATAAAGAAAGGACAAAATCCAGGGTTAACATTGGCTTGGCTTTTTGAGATGGAGAGTGTTAAAAGCAGTCAAAGGACTTAGATTTTACTTAGATGTGGTGTTCTTCCTTCTGGATTCATTAGCATCTAAAGTTTTGGTAACATTACTGACCCATCATGAACATGATTTAACGTTTGTATTGAATTAATATTCAATTTTGGAGTAATTTGAGCTTTGTGTAACATTAGTGCTAAAACACGACGTTGTCCATGTTGCTAAAGCTAGCTTCAGGTCGGAGGCTGCATTTTGTAAAGTTTGTTGCAACCAGGCATTGTAGGCGACCGTATTGCACGTCATCACTAGGAAACAGTGTGGGAGGGCATGATGGCAGAGACAAAGAACAGTTGGGAGCAGATTATGGTTTTGAGTCTCACTACAACCTCTGGCAACTGAAAAGAAATTAGGCCGATTAGCTTTAAACTTTGAAAATCTGAGTGGTAATTTAATACTATTGACCAGGTTTTCTTTTGGATATATGTTGAATGCAAAACAGTTCTGATTTCAATAAAATGTTTTTTTGTGTTTGTTCCCTAGAGTGCCGCGCTGCTCCAGCTTCTAAATGGGTGAATCGGGCTCACGCCGTTCCACTCTTGTATCCCGCCTGCCAATCTTTCGCCGGAGCAGCAGTAAGAGGCAGGAGTCTCTCCCCTCCTCTCCATCTTCAGGAGGAGTGGGAAATGGCGTCCATACCTCTTCACCTTCCAGCACCAACTCCAGTTCTGGTAGTACTGGGAAACGTCGGAGCCTTTTCAGCACTTCATCTCTCAGTTTCACATCTAAACAGAACAGTGATCCACGTGTCCAGCCAATCAACCTAAACCTCACTCCTCCACTGACACAGGGCACGGATGCAAATGGAAATAACAAGCAGACGATACCAACATCTGTATCGACAGGGTTCATTGATGGTGGTGGACGCCCCAAGTCACGCCACTCATTTGGGTTTGGCAGCCACAGGCAAAAGAAGATCACACAATCTCAGACCAAGGATTTTGACAAAGGATCCTCTTCCTCCTCAACAGCCAATCGAAACGTGTTTATAAACTGCATCAGCAGCTCAGGGACCAATGAGGGCGATGACTCTGGGTTCCTTGATGACTACAGTGGCAGCAGTAATAACAACAAACGGTCTTCACGCCAGAAGAAACAGTCGCTGCTGCCTAAATCTTTCTCAGTTCACCACCGTTTCTCCCGGACCTCTGATCACCACAGACCTCCGGAAGTCAATCTGGAACCTCCAAGCTCTACCACCATGGCTCCAGGGCCAGGAGGGCTTACTCCAGGGTCATGGCCAGGTGAGCTGCTTGGTACCGTTGGTCAGAGCTCTCTCCAGTCCCCAATGATATCAGAGGACCAAACCACAGCAATCACCCCTTCAGAGTTCATCCCTGTCACGGAGGATTCTGTATCTGAGGTGGATGCACTGCCAGCTCCCAGCCCGGGATCTGGTTTATCCTCTGGACCTGCCTCTGTGCCCGGTCCGGCTGCTGACACAGCTCCCCCTGACCCTCCACCTGCTACAGAGAACTTCAGTGTGGCAGTCTCCGCCTCCCAGGTAGTGTGTTCATTGTATGCAATTTACTCTCTTTCTGAAATATCTAAGATTCTTTGGAATCAAATGATCTGAAGTTCAGTATAGATGATAAAAATGCAACAGTTTAATAAGCATGTTAAAATGCCTGAACACATAATTTTTTTCTGCTTGTAAACATACAAGCAAGAGCTTATTTGTAAAAAGGCTGCCTGGTGCTTCGGTAAATGACAGTACAACCACAGGTGTCCTTGAATGTCAAGGATAAAAACCATAAAGGAGGAATATTTATGACCACTTTGTGGAATCTGAAGCGTGGCATAAAAGTTGAGCACCGGACATGAACAGTCCTTTTATTGAAAGAGCTAAGGCCTGAAAAATAGAACCTATGCAAACTGCTCCCCACATTTCACACCTTTGTGCTCACAATTTTTCCACCTTCAAAGAATTGATTGCATTTTATTTCCTGGTAGAGGAGGGAAGTCCAGAAAGGAAACCATTTACCCAATATGCAACAGTTACAAAAACAAAGCCCTGTACTGAGGCTGTTAAAGAGTAAATACTGCATGACTGTGCTGTGTAAAGATTCACACTTTGGTGTCTGAAGACCCAAATATCTACCTGCTAAATGCATGTTAAAGTGGGGTTTTCTCTCTGTAAAATTAGAAGCTTTTTGCCTCATTCGAGTCGCCAGTGACAGAGTTCTGCTTTCCCCAGGTTTTCTTCACTCCAGTCCAGTCCAGCACTGAAAAACCTTTACTCCCTGACACCAGCACAGCCAACAACACAGACTACGATACTGCTGTTTCCCTCTCAGAGCCAGAGACAGCTGTACCTTGTCCACCTCTGCTGGAACAATCGCTGGAAGAGAAGAGGGAGAGGGAGGAGGAGAGAAAGGAAGCGAGTGAAGTGGTGTCAGCAGAGGAGAGCAAGGAGTTGGTGGAAGACAGGAAAGTGGGTTACCAGACAGAAACCACAAGTGAGAGCGAGGCATGTGTGGTACGCAGCGAGGGTTGCCACTCCAACCCAGAGCAATCGGAAAGGAGACCAAGGCACACGCTCTCTTTTCAAGAAAGAGGAAGTTTCTGTGGGTGCCATGAACCCAGGTCCTCTCACTTGAGGAAACCACATGCAGGTATGAAACTCATGCAAGCACTAGCAGGTTAATCACAGATCTACACATAAAGCCACAGACACACACAGATATCACACACACGTGTACAGTGTGAGTCACAGGATCAGGTTGCATGACAACTGAGACACAGCGGCAGATACAAACTTAGTTGCTTAACGACCATTTGTTGTTACCTTTTGTGATGAGGGCTCCATGAAATAGCTGACCAGGTGTTTTATCTCAAAGGCAGCAACAGATTTGGCTTAGCTGTGCAGTGGTGACGTTTCTGGATGTAAACAGTTAAGTCTGCTGTACATGTAGCCTGTTGTTTGCTAGTATGACTGACTTTGTTGACTTCAGTGTATGTTCTGCTATATTCCCTTCATTCTTTTGATCTTTGCTCAATTTGAGGTTATTTGTAGAAAATGTAATAATTATATTGAACGTAATAACAATAAAAGCACTGCATACGGCCACCTGTAAACTCTGCTTTTTACTAGAAAAAATAAAGAATAAGGCTGTCCATTTACTATATTAATAGTATTTTCAGCAATCTCCATACAGAGACTAAAACCAACAGGATTAGGTTGTTCATCTGTGCAATACATCTCCCTCGTTGTTCAAAACCATTAAAAACACATCAGGGAAACACACCACCGCACCGGGTGACACATTTTTTCCCATTATGACACCCCAACCTTGACCATGTTCACCCAAAGGCTCCGTGCTGCCATAATTTCCTGAGGTTAGTGTGAGTCAGAGACAACTGCACATGCGCCAGATCTTGCACAAGCTCTTGTGTGAGCTCTCAGCTTTGTTTATCTTCCGCTAGCTCTTCAGACTCGGGTCTGGGATTTGCTGATGAAGAAATGTGTCACCCACTGCAGCGGTGTGTTTCACTGATGTGTTTTTAATAACTTTTGAGCAACGACGTCTGTGCCATAGACCTCCATCATACTGATGGACATTAACCGTGAGCAGAGGCAATTCATTGTTAAGTGTCTGTATGGGGAGTGTTGAAAATACTGCTAACATAGAAAATGACCAACCTTATCTTTTAAGGCACCACATCAATTTTTGGCGATGTTCATTCATAAATGTGATAGGACCACATTAGTAGTAGTAGTATACAGTCACTATTATCTATGTATTCATCAAAAATATATATAATCTCTACCAAAATGAGTGAGAGGTAAACTTTTATTAGGTGGTGGAAATGATGCCATGCTCCTGCTCTTTCAGCGCTGTTTGGTATTATTACTTCGTTATACATGGCTGAACAAGCGAGCAAGTGTGATCAACATAGCCAATAAAAATCTTTGACAGTTCATTACCAAGCCTTTCAAGGACATTGCCCTAGGAAACTGGCAAGTGGCAGTGATGCAGATTGGTGTAATCAGAATCAAAGTATTATCAGTTCTACTCGATGATTGAAAACCGCTGCATGAGTAATATGGACAACATTGTGTTTTCCCAACTTCCAAATTGTCTGGTAATACAAAGTTTTGGTAAAAGTATTACAAGAAAGTTATTAGCTTTAGTTCCCTTGTAGCTGTCACTCCTTCTAGCAGTAACTCGCGACACTTAATCTGACAAAATGTCTGTGGTCTAATAAATCACTAGCAGTTGTGGGTTGACAGGAATGAAACAGTGTTTGTCATACAGATTTTTTTTTTCTTAAACAAAGATGATTTGTACTATCATTTTAGCTGGTGTGGTAACATTAAATAAACGTGCAGCTGCTGCTACTGTTTAAGTGCATATTACCAAAACTGAAATGTCACTTTAATGCTCTGTAGTTGAACTGCGACGGCATAAGAGAGTTGCCGCAATGTATTGGAATCCATGCTTGCAGTAAACTGCAGTTGTCCTGACTACAGTGTTGATAGGATGAGCTGTTGGACTCCACAAAAACAGAATTTTACTGTATTCATTTTTGCTAACAGTGTCTGCCCTGTGGTGTGTGGGTGTCCATGTACTATAGGTCTGAATTTTCTTTGTGGTTATGGTCTGGGTTGGAGACATGGTAACAATGGGGCTTCCTGCAAAGCCAGAACTGTACATATCCATGTTCTTTTTTGTTCCAGTTCATAAGGACAAAGACAAGAAAGAAGACACATCCACATAAGAGAAGCTCTGTGTGTATGTGGTTGTGTGAGTGTATGGTTGGAATGAAGTGTTGTTTTTTTTTTCCCCCTTCCAAATATGTTCATTCACTATTGAGTTTTATTGGTATAGGCGCTCGACCAAAACTTGATTATTAAAGAACCAGTATAAATACCACTTGGTCAAACCTTTATGGCTAAAAGACTTCATAAAGGGAAGACTGAACTTCATTAAAATGCTGAATAACTAAGAGTAAGTCATTACATTTTATGAAAGAAACCTTATTTTCTACAGATAATAGGACTGACTGTTGCCAATAGGAAATATATTAAAAAGATGATTATGTGACTACTGCCGTTTGCAGCAATTTAACTTAAATGATTCCCTTCTCACCTTCAGATTTTATGTCTCATTCCTCCAGCTTCTCTGTGTAGTAGTGTCAGCCCTTATCATGAGGTGATGCGGATGGAGAGGCGTCTGCGATCCTCATCTGAAGGGGCTGGTGGGCCGCGTATCCATGGAAACCACAGAGATGCCCCAGGCATGGAGGGATGTGGTCTGCTTAAACACAGAAACAACTCCTCGTCATCCAAACTGGGAAGTCTGGTAGGTATCACGAGTACTGAAGTAAATCATATGGTTTATTTTATGATTAGTATGGTTAGGTCAAGCTTAATCATCACCAAATTACACTAGACACTAGTAGTGTGGGTATGAAACAAACAGTGTAGTGTGTGTGTGTAATAGTTTGCACCCTAATTAGGATGTTGAGGTAAAACACAATTAGACCCTAGACACACACACGTATGTGAGTTCAGTTAGTGTGACTAAATAGCCTATTATGTGCCACCTCCTCTTCTGTACATCCTGACAGTTTCAGACGCAAAGCCAAGTGAAAGTACTTCACATTAGTTATAAAGCAGTTACACGGATGAACAAACACAATGAAGGAGAAAATAGAATTGGAATAGAAAAATGAAACATAATAATAGACCAAAAATATATTTATTTTGTGCAGCAGTGTCCATCTTAACTAATAGTTTCACTAATCCAAAATATGTTTGTATTTTTTGTGTCCCTGTGTGCTGTGACTTGAGGTGTGGGGTAAGAAATGGGGCAAAAATATTGAAGTAGGCTTTTTTTAAAAGAAATGTAGCTACTTTTGTCCTTTTTCAGTCTTCCTCTAGTGCTTGTTGCTGTTCATTGTGCTGCTGGGCAAATTTTACATGCGTTGAAATGACCTGAACACATTGTTTGCTCATCTAAAAGATTTTTAGGCTTTGCAGATGTATGATTAGGGAGGCCTCCTAGTCACCCCCAGTACCCAAGTGTGCTAGTGTATCACAAGCGTCTGTCCATGAAAATACCAACAGTGTTCCAGCATCCCCAGGGCACAGTTTGAAGATCATCTCAGAAATGGATTTGAACTTGCTTTGAGATGTAAAAAATGTTTAATGGAATGTAAATTTAATGATGAGGTGAAGTGCTGTATTGACTTTGCCAAATCAAGGAAGGAAGATGCGTTCTGCCTCCTAGAGATGAATGTGCTTTGGTACGTTCAATCCCAGAACAACAGCAAAGGACCTTTTGAACACACTGGTGGAAACGGGTACCAAAGTATTTATATGCATGGTAAAACAAGTCCTATATCGATATAACTTGAAAGGCTGCTCAGCAAGAAAGAAGCCGCCATACAAAAGGCAGGCTATGGTTTGCGGCTACGCATGGGCACAAAGATCTTACTTTTTGGAGAAATGTCCTGTGGTCTGATGAAACAAAAATTGAGCTGTTTGGCTATAATGACCCTCTATATGTCCGGAGGAAAAACGACATTATAACTAGACCTCACACTTATAACCATAAATTGCTCATCATACCACTCAGAAAGGAGACACAGTCTGTTTCCCAGAGATGAACATACCTTGGTCTGAATGGTACAAATCAATCCCAGAACAACAGCAAGACATGATCTCAACAACATCTCAAGGCATCAGCCAGGAAGTTAAAGCTTGGTCACAAATGGGATTTCCAAATGGACAATGACCCCAAGCAGACTTCCAAAGCTGTGGCAAAATGGCTTAAGAACAACAAAGTCAAAGTATTGAAGTGGAATGTTTATAGGATTAAATATCAGGAGTTGTGAAAAACTGAATGTAGATGCATTTGGCTAAGGAGTATGTAAACTTCTAACTTCAACTGTATATAAAAAACTTTTCAGCGGTCTTTGTTGATGCATACTGTAGCTCTATGTACTTTTGTTTATAGCTGCAGTTGTGTATAGGTTGGTTTTCTTACCACACACAAAGAAGCTGAGTGAGAGGAAAGCTAGTTTAAGTCAGTCCCATTTATTTTACCAGGGACTATAGGTTTCTCCTGAGAGATTACACAGCACATTGCTGTGTACTTTGCACACTGCATCGATATCTGGACATAGACTTCACCAAACATTGAATAACCTCTTCCTTTCCTGTTTGGGGCCTACAAAGGGGACTTCTGGGGGTAGGAGCCTGGGAGTCTATAGTAAATTATGTACCACAACACTTTTAGCTTGAAACAAATGTGTTGGTTAGCAGAGGGTACTTGTAGCTAATGAAAAAGTCTAGATTGAGACACTTGAGTATTTGCAGTTTGCATTTGCCTGGGTGTAATGTGTACAGTCCCACAGTATGCAGACCTTTGTATCTTCTAAGTAAACATATAATTGAAGCTAGTGAAGTTATGAATAAAAGGCATGGAATAGTCAACTCTTTGTTTATGAACATGCAGTGTATGTTCATAAACTGACTATAATGTTTATATGTTAAAGGAGCCTGTGGGACATGGCACCATGTACCTATAGTGCATGATGCTAACCGGTGAATGTGCTTTGCTGTTGCTGTGTCATTACAGCCCAGACAGAATATAGAATCATAATGGAAATAAATATTTGGTTTGCAGTGGCAAATGACTAATTTGTTGACATCATAGAGATAAACTGTCAGGTACCTCTGTGAGGCGAAGCAACGATGTGTTTGCTTGAGCTATTTGGTGATTTAATTTCATTTGCTATCGTTGTTCTGGGAAGCTGTGAGATATTTATTTTACGAGCGTATTTCATGTTAGTTGCTCATAAGTTTCTCAAAGACAGCTGTGATAAAACTGTGGCAGCCTCACAGCGATTGCTTTCAGTACCAGCTGAAAAAACACCCAGAAGTTCCCTATATCAGAGACGAGCTAAACAACTTTGAATTTGCTTTTTTGTTTGTAGTTTTGATGCCATATGTTCCAGAATAGTTCAGCTGCAATCCACATTTCTTTGACTGTGTTACTTAAGCATATCAACAGTTTCTTGGGAGCTTGCTTGCTAGAGAGAGTTGTAATGCAAATTATCTCCTGTTCTCATATCCTCCAGCCTGATTGACGCCTTGTAAAGGGTTAGATATCATGTGACACTTGTATTAATCATAACAGATAAGGATTCACTTCCTCTCCCAGACAGAATTTGTAATAACCACAACCAGATGGTTGAATTTTAACAAGAAAAACAGTGAGGATGTTTGCAAGTATTGAATGCTCACTTGGCCCAAAGATATCTGATGTGATAAACAGTAATAAATATCTTACATATGAAATTTCAAACTTCAGCATTTTCCCGGAGGCTCTGTTTCCTAATGTTCACAGTGTAGAACAATGAGAGTGGTGGTTAAAGAACAAATTGCTTATTTAGCTCAGGACTAATATGTAACATAGGTATTGGCACAAATGGTGCCATTAACAATTTGGAGGGGTTCATTAGAAGAACAAGAGTCAGCAGGACTCAGATCCTAAGAATGTTTTACTTAATTCACTGAAATTCCTTTTCACCCCCCTTTCTGTGACCAAAGACTAGACTTTTAATCGATTTTGGTTATATTGGTGCATTCAGAGAATAAGTACTTCTTTGTCTTATTTTGAAATGACTATTAAGAATGTGCTAATAATCCACCTAGTGATCTCATAAGGCTTTATTTAGTGAAATTTACATTTGACACTCAAAGATTATTACAGAGTTCTGAAACATACTTCTAGATACAGTTTTGTGTGACCACCCTAAACAACAACACACCTTCCTCATGGTAGATGTTAGCCACTGCAGAAAAGGAAGAGGTGTAACTTTAATGCAAAATAAATGGTGTGTCCCAAATGACCATTTTCACCAGGCAAATTTTGCTTGCAGAAAGCAGGCATGCCAGAAAATGGCGTGGGAAGTGTTGCCAGCGAACAACAGCTCTCCACAAAGTTGTGCTTCTTGTCAAACCCAGTCACTGCCCTTGCACTCACTACAGCCAAGCAGCACCCCTCTGCTGCTTGTGTTATTTCACCATGCTGATATGAAACAAGAATATAAACAAACAGTACATTCTGAAGCGTATGTCAATTCTTCCCCCTTCTCAGACTGTCTGGACATTTGTGAACCTAATTCTTCACAAAGAGCAAAGTTCAGACAAATTGATCTCTGCATACAGTGAAAGAGGCAGGTTTGTTTGAAGGCGAATACATCTTGCCGTGTACCTCAGAGAAATAAATGGGGAGCGAAATCAGGACTGACCACACCTCAAGCCATTCCTCTGATCCATCGTGCTTAATAGAAAACTGAAACAGAATGAATTTGGTATTTGTTATTAATTACACCAGTGTTTTTCCTTCTATAATGTATAAATGTTTGCTATATAAAGGTTAAAAGATTATGCAGATGCGCTCCAGTATGTCCTTGTTTAGTACTCGGTCAACACTACATACAGTATTGCACAAGAACTTCCTCTTAAGTTATGAGTATAGTCATATTTTTTGTTTCTGCAGCCTCTGTTGCAACATATATTAATAAAGCTGTAGAGCTTACAATACACAATAGAACCCTGTGTTAAATATGTATCTCAAATTTATGGTGAGCAAAAGTATAGAACAAGTCAGTGGTATGAAGCACTAGGATTTAGTATCTGCCTCTCAAACTTTACATGGCATGGCTTGTTGAGTATGATGAATGCTTGCTTTGCTCTGAGATGAATGATTATAAAAAAATAACAACCGTTAGGTGATGTAAGTGGGATATTGCGGGTAAAAATCACTTTCTTTTTCTTCACCAAATGGATTTCGATTTAACTGGACATTCAATCCTTTATTCCCGCCGGCACATTGTAAACACAACTGGCTGTGAAGTGTCTGCTTAAACAGAATGAAAGTCATTTGTTTAGTCTGTATACTTTCAATTGCTAGGAGCTATAGTACCTGACTGCAAAACCAAATCCCTTTCCCTTGATCTTAATGCCTTTACAACCCTAAAGCACTGAAAGGATGTAATTCTGAGTGAACAGAAACCAGTGTCTTTTAATGGAGAGAAAGAACCTCTTGTTTCTTATTTGGCTTGGCAGCTAAGAGATGGAGCCATCTTTTAATGAGACCTGAATCTGATATTATCTCTATTACCTCAAGGATTATACTCGCTCATATCGCACAAATGAGGTAAAAGGGTGACATCTTTGGGTTGTAGAGCCACATTAACGCATTTCTGTGGTTAGAGGGGCATATTAAATGGGTAATTTAGCTTCAAATGAAGTCTGTGTGCGGTATTATCCCACAGTATGGGTCTTCATTTCTTTTCCAATATCTCTTAGATATTAACTTGAATGCCTGAAATGAGTTGTGTGTTCGGTTTCGTTGCACTGAAATGCATTCAGGTTTTTGTCCTGATGTTTGTAGCACTGAGCATCCAGTGAAAAAGTGAAGGGGGGAAAAAGATGAAACAAAACAGCAACATAATGTTCATGCACAGACAACAGTGGCTTCATATACTGTGCTGTAGGTAGGACCTTGAATAACATTAATTTAGTTTTCTCTCTCTCTCTCTCTCTCTCTCTCTCTCTCTCTCTCTCTCTCTCTCTCACACACACACAGAGTGGTGTGTGGCTGAATAATTAGAAGTGTCACTAAGCATTGAGGCCGTTGTACTCAGATGGGAGGAGATCGATATAGAGTGTGGCTGTGAGGTTGTTTATGTCCAAACCACAGTTATGAGAGCTAAATAGAGTTTGTTATTGGTTTTTCAGATCCATCTGCATCTGCAGATCCTTCGTGAGACTGACCTGGAAGTGTTTTGGCTCTTGATATTTAACTTGGGTTTAGTTTTTCATTTTTTTTGTGCACCAAAGTTTAGGCAAGGTCTCACACACCAGTATTAAGAGCTCTGACAGCCTGTGTAGCCACCACCCTCATATTTTTATTTTGAAAATCTTGATCTTGTCTCAGCAGATATTGTAGGTAATAAAGGTTATTCAGAACCAGGTCAAAGCACTTTTCGCAGTGAATAATTAGTTTGGGTTTGTGATGAGATTTGCTGTGTCAAGACAATAACATTATAGACCTACTGTATGAGATAAAATACCACCAAAAAAGATTAATGCCATTTGTCTTGGGTCTAAATCAAATATGTAAAATTATTTGCAAATATAATTTGACCTTGAAATGACCAAGGCCTTTTGGATCCAGAGTATTTGGAAAGACACCTACTGTACTGATGGTGATAGTTGAGAGAGCTTTCACTTGTTACTAAGTAAAAATGTTCAATTAAAGATAAAGAAAGCTGTTGATAGACCTGCACAGGAACTCCTACCAGGACTGTGTTACCACTTTGTTCTTTTTTTAACCAGTTCAGTTCCATGCTACAGTTACTCCGTTTTAAATTATGCCTTCTTTTATGCACAGGTCAGCAGTGTTTTAATCAGTACGTCTCTCTCACGCTTGTAGCAGGATTTGGATTTCCCTTTTATGACCATCAGATGGCAGCATTGACTTTTGAAATACAACTGAACCAAATGGAGCCTGATTTTACTCCATCATTAGAACCTCAAAATAAAACAAGAGAACATGGGAGCATTTACTGTAACTGAAGATTTAGTGTTTCACATTAACTAGTGAAGCATTGCTCACTACACTCTTGTGGAGTAGTACCACACATAAAGCACTGAGAATTTCTTTTTAACAATGATTTATACATTTTACAAAGAAATATGCATGCTGTGAGTGGGGATACTTTTGGTAATTCAGGGTAGTCAGTACTCTTATTGTATGGTATTTAATGCTGTGTGAAGGGTGAGCAGCACAGTGGGTAAAGACAGGGGACACAGGCGGCTGTGGATCAGGAGACAGAGTGGGTCATCCCCTAACCGGAGGGTTGGTGGTTTGATTCCAGTCCACATGTCAAAATATGTTTGAGCAAGACACTGGTCCCCAAGTTACTCCTGTGATATCACCGGTGTATTTTAAATGTAGTTATTCTACAGTGACTTTGTTGCATTTGTAAGCAAATCCCCTGCTTTGAATTCACTTACTTTATTCACTTTTAAGAAAAACGTTCTCCTAAAAATATACATTCATATTTTATTTTATTTAAGATTGTTTTAAATATTTTTTTTGCTGTATAATGTAAAACATAAAACCTGTCTGTGCTTGTGTGCAAATTTTATATGTTGGACTTTGTCTTCCACATACTAAACTATATGCTACTATCCCTGCTGCCCTGCTAGTACAGTAGTATTAGTATAGTTTGTTTTATAGTTTTAAAGGAGAATTGAAGCAATACTCAGGGTGCTCCTGCAGTTGTTGTTGTATTTTATTTTATTTTTTGAGCAAGAAAATCACCACTGTTAATGGTTAAAAACACCCTGTTCACTGCAACACAGGTGAGATAAATAGTATTAAAATGTATTAACAGTTTTGAAAGTCACATGACAGAGTAATGAGTTATCTCTTTTTGTCCTGGAGAGGAAATCTTGTAGAGTTTTTATTCTTTGTTTGTTTTGCTTGCGAAGCATGGTAAATGCTGACAGATGTTACAAAAACCTACAGCCTCATTTGGCACATTCTTTGCTTTCTTAAACTGAACCCTAATGATCCCCACATAACAAGGGCAGCAATATGTTTTCATGAGCTTGGATGCAATGATGAGGGACTAAATATCTCATTAAGTGGAGGCAAAGTGGAAAAAAAATCCCATGCCCTAAATAAAAATAGCTAATAGTGTTATTATTGCTTATGTTAATAAAATTTTGTGTTTTTCTGGCTGAATCTCTTTTTGGATGTTATGAGCTGCCTGGGTTACTTTGAAGAAAATTGTTTTCTAATTTGCTGTAATGTTGCCTTATTGTAACCTTATTTTAATAAGTGTTTTTGTTGTTGTTTTTTTTTTTGTTTTGTTTTCCTCCTCGGGGTCTATGAGTAACTAAATTGGTATTAAAGCTGTTCATCATAATAAGTTGCTTAGATCAAATGATTTTGTTTCGATTAAGAATACAGAGCATATATATATTTATATAAAATATACCTTTTGCTTTTGTGTCTTCTCTTCAGGATGTTTTAAACAACCTGGGCTCCTCAGAGCTGGATGAAGATGATCTTATGCTAGACCTGGACCTTTCCGATGATCAGCGACATCGACATGGTAACCTTTTCACTGTATAACATCTGCATCTCTTCATGGTAGGTGCATGGCTGAGGCTTAAAGCAGGCTATGAGAAGATACAGATGATACACCAGTTGACTTTTTTACACTTCATATCAATAGAAAAAAAGAATGTCGCATACAGATTCTTACGTTTATCTTTCCTACCCCTATTCCAGTCAATGTGTCTGCTCATGCTTTTCTCATTGTCACTGATTTGTTTCCCCATCCTTTCCTTCCTTTCTTCTCTTTGCCCTTTCTGCCTTGTATCTCTCTTGTCATTATGCCACCTCTGTTTCATCATCTTTTAACACAAAACCAGGACTCTCCCTTTTTCTTCCAACATATGCTGTGACTTTGATGTAGCTGCCTCATTTACAGCGATTTATCTCCTTTGTTGTTTTGACATTTCAGTCACACTCATCCTGACATGCCTCCTGGTTGAAAAGTGACTACCAGAGGAGAATTACTGCTTGTGCTGTACCGCAGTGCCAAACTAACCCCAGTTTCTTTTAATGTAACACATAAGGAAATTATTCTGCTGAATATGTGTGGTGAGTGGCTGTAACCACACCACATGTGGATGCCTCAAGAGGGACCTAATGAACTTGGGTAACATGTTCATGTGTTAATTCTTATCAAGGAGTTTCAGTGTTGTGAGTAGACATAGTGAAATTTATATTAGTGACAAGCGAAATGATAAACTGAAATCACAAGCCTTGTTCTTATTTAATTCCCTACAGAAACTCTGTTATTAGGCAAAACGGCAAGCTCTTGCAAATACTGTAGTACTGATTGTTTCTGGTAATCTCAGATTGCAAATATTTGCTTCATATTAATAGATAATCAAACCACAAAGACAAAAAAGCATACACATTGATTTGCACAGTTGGTGTTTGACTCTGTATGACACACAAATAAAATAATTCAACTGGGAAAAGTGAAGCTTGAAAAGTGGTCGCCTTCCATTTCAGGTTACTTAGATGCAGGGAGTCCATATGTGTTTAGCTTGGACTCTTATCTAACACATCTTTGAGTCACACTATATGTAAATGTGAGGTTAGATTGTCTGTATCTCTAGGCTAAGTCCCAGATGGACTCACAGAATATTACAGCTGCAGTCAAATAAAGTAAAGTGCTCAGCAGCACTGTGGTGTAAAGACTGCAGTACAGCAGGAGCTTCAGCTGTAATAAACTGAATTTCTTGTGCTTATGGGGGTTGGAGAGTTTTGGGAGGGAGAGTACATTTGAATTGAACATGCATACACCTGCGCACACACACACACACACACACACACATTTAAAACATCTCTGAAGACATTGGCTGATCAAGAGCCAGAGGAGGCACCCTCATTAATATACACACTAACATACAAATGTGCATACTTAGTCATTAGACCTAATGGTTTGCAGTCTGCAGCATGAAATTAAAGGTTTGATGAATTGTTCTCATAAAGTCAGGGGACTAAGACTTTGTGCTGGTGATGGAAAAGTAAGGTTCTTCCATACACTCAAAGGGGATTTAAAGAGACACACAGCTGCACGAACATTCAGGCATTATACATGGGCAGACAGGTTCCCAACACCAGTCAGTCAGAACTGATAAAGCCTCTTGGATGAGAGGTGAAACGTCTTCGACCTAGAAATCTAGTCCATTTGATTTTCTCTAAATTTTTTCAGTTCATATAAGGATGCATACACACATGCAGACACACAGACATACACAGCGGGACTTGCACCTATCCCACAACCCCCACTCCCCCACACACACTCATTGGCACTCCTCGGTATTACCCTCTCTCAGGTGGCTTGTTGAAGCCTTTATTAAAAAGCAAGCAGTTTCATGGCAATTTATGGCCAAAAGTGTTCAGCTGCAGGGCTCTGTGTTCTTAGTCAAACTGGGACTCATGCCCTGTGGAATCAGACAGGGACAAAGAAAGACAGCAGGACCTTTTACAAAGATGTAAAGAAATGCCAAATCTTGGCCTCACAACCAACATTTATTCCAGACTCTTCCTCATTGCTCTGTCAAATGTGCCATTAAAATAAGACATCTCTCTCTTTTTTTTTAAACAACTTGTCATTACTGAATTTTAATAAGCTATTTTGTGACCTTACTTGTGTTTTATAGCTCTTCTTCCATTTGGGAGAAGGGTTATTATTTTTGATGGCTACAATATGTTGTGGTAAGGTTAGGTCCTTTGACAAATTCTAAGTGTCAGCTGAGATTAAAAAATCCTCTTGATAAAGTGACTATATGTGTGTTTGGGTGTGTGCACAGTGTCCAGAGAAGACTCCAGCCAGTCCCTGGCCTCTTGTCTCAACCTGCCCTCCCCTATGGACCCAACAGGAGAGCGCATCCTGGGGAAAGAAAACAGTCAGAGGTAAATGTGTAGATTTGCATTAATACATATATGGTACGTGCTCTGGGTGTGCAAAAGTGCTGTCAGACCAATTATGTGTACATTTTCAGTACAGTTATCTTGTACTTTGACAAAGAAAATAAAGAGAAATGCTATGGTTATAAATGAAATATTTATGGGCTGGGTGTATTAGAACCACAATCGTGGACAGAAACAGGAGAAAAATACTCTGGTACTGGCTGGCCTCAAACAGGATTCACTTAAATACAATTGGAGCATATGGAAGGCTCAAGGATCTGTTTTGATGCACTTAGCCACTTGGCCTCAGGGGTATTTATCCTCTCTATAATATATCTTCATTACAGTATAGCTTTTTTTTTTTTTTTTTTTACACAGCACCCTTCATTGCCACGTGAGAGTGGCTTATTGCCTGTTCTAGGAATTGCTGATCTTGAATGTTCCTTGTAAGTGTAAAACGTTTTAACGTTTTATGTCTTTCCCTCCCTTGGAGATGAGACAAGACTGTTGCAGAGAAAGAGGGAGGGTAAATAAATAAATTAATTTAGGATAAATACAGTATGCAAGCTGTCTTTCTGTCCTCGTCTGTCTTCCAGTTGCCGATGGCTGAAAGAGAACAGTTAGTTTCTGCTCATACATGCAAGGATCACTGCCAAGGACGGATGCATATCTGATTTGATTTGGCCACTTGCTTCTTCTCTATACTCATGAATCAGGATAGGCCTTGCTGGGCACACACACAGAAGTGTGTGCATACTGTGTGGATAGGGCTTATTTGGTTTTATGGAGCCAGTGGGTAATAAAGGGATTGTATCACCAGTGGTATTGTCTGGTGGTATGTCTGACAAGCCCGCAGATGATTATTACTTTACATTTCAGTGCTCTTCTCTCCAGTCCCTGCTTGAATTTATTTTATTTGTGCTCACACCCATAGAGTAAATGTATCCATCTCTTCATGTTTTCCCTGACCAAACTTGCTATGATCTTCGTTGTTTGCAGAGACGGTGCAAGTCTGCTTTTGTGAGAGGTTTTGAAGTAGAGCTTGAAGGATTTGTACTAAACCATTGAGACATTGGACTTCTTTTTCTAAATTTTTTTACAGGCGTTCTTAACCACGCTCTAACAGTGAATGTTTTGCTAAATAGTGAGACACTTTCTGTGTCTAGACTTTGTCTGTGAATCATGCTAGTCAGGAGTCAACCTTTTCAACTCGTACAAGGTTTTTTCAGACTGTTCATTGTTTGTCTTATTTCTACTGAAGTCCCACTTCTCCACTTGCCTTTGAAAGCATGGAAGAAGCATTCATATCTACACATAAACACACAAATATTTGCATTTTTCCTGTGTGGGTGCAAGGTCAAGGCTAAAATGTTATTTTCTGAAACAGCTTTTTCTTCAGTTTGATTTAGTTTGTGTGGATTGCAGCAATGCAATTCAGGCTAGAAATGCCATAATATGAGGAGATGGCTCCATTTTTTTAATCCCATCAGACACACTGTATTACAATAGTGATCCTTTAGCAGAGCAAGGGGATAGTGAATGAGACCTGAGCTGTGGTGTAGAGCTACAAACAGCCTTATAACATCTTATTTCTGTGGTATAGCTCTGAACTAAACTAAATCTACACTGATATCGCCAGGTCTGTGAGGCTGCACTTAGGAACAGTGGTGCATGCAGAGCTAAATGCAAACATCAACATGATCACATCCTCATAATGGCAATGCTAAGACGTTTAAGAAGAAATCAAAACAGCACCATAACAAGATGACATGGAAACAAGATGTTTACATTTACAGAAAAATGTAGGGGAGTTTTACATGTGGTTTGTATGTGAAGGTGTTGTGAGGGTATGTTAATCTATATACTGACTAATAAAGAATAAATTAAAAAAGGGAGGAGTAGAGAAAGAAAGAGAGGAAAGAAAGGACTAAAATAAATAAGTGAATAAAGTAAATAAGGGAAAATAAAGACATGAATAGATAAAGGAAAAAATAAAGTGGTTTAAACCAGTAAATGAATGATAAGAACAGGGAAAGGACTTGTAATATACACCGGAGCAATATGACAACACTAAGATGCTGGTGTGTAACAGGTGTAATGATAACTAGTGTGATAGCATTCTACAATTTGCTAATTAGCACTAAACACAGCCGAATCTGTTTTGACCTGATGATGAGGCGAGATAAATTGTCAGTGCATCACCAAAGTTGTTGCTATTCATCCTGAGGGGGGGTGTGAATGTGTGTACCAATATTTCAGTCTGGACCAAAGTGGTGGACCAACTGGCTGCCAGACATTTCCATCCCTGGAGCTATTCTGCTGCTGTAGCTAAAAAGTATGCAGTAAATCAACCTTTAAATCATGGTATCCTTGAGTGATGACCTAATTAGTTCCTCTTTTATGTGTCACCTTTATAACAACCCAACAGTCTGCACTAAAGTCAACTCTAGCCTTCAAAGCTGTAGACACATGACACAATTTAATAGTGTGTGCGCTGCTGACAGTCAGACAGTCGTGTGATGTATTGGGCTGAGGGAGACGTGTGTGTGTTCAGATGACTTCTCTGCAGCAAGACAGCAGTATTTGTAGCTGAAGTGAGGTGCAGATAAATGTTCAGACTCTTCTTTCATTTGATTTCGGTGAATCTTAACTTTATGTTTAGGTTACATAATGGAGCCAGGTCTATGTTTCTTACCCTGGTCAACATGTAGCTTCTGCTATGTGTTAATTTCCCACTGTGGTGCAGTAGTTCAACATCACAGCTTTTACTGTAAAATGTGTAAAGTCTGTGAGTGTAGGAGCTCAGATTGCAGAGGGGTAGGAGAACAAACTGTGTTTGCCCAGAACTCGCTCCATTCTGTTTGCTGTCTTTCTTCTCAGTCTCTCTTGCTCTTTGTCTTGGTTTCCACATTCCCCGAGGGGACATTGATTTGCTGGAGGCAACGCAAGCCCCCTTCTGTTCACACACAAGAGAACACCAGCACACACACACACGTACTCACCTGTCAGTCAGCCTGTCCAGAGAGAGTATCAGCTGCAGGATACTTCTGGCTCTGTGACAAGCTGTATAGAGCATCTGTTGTACACACTCACAGTCTTGCATGCATACCTCTGTTGTATGACGAGTAATTTAGATTACAGCTATTTAATTCTGTGTGTTTATGACTTTGTAATGTTGATGCCACAGTGACAAAGCTAGAGCAATAAACAGCCATGTACAAGATATTTGCTTCCATTTTCTGTGGCTGCATGGGCGAGGAGAGGAACAGAGACAGATAGTGTGGCAGGAATTCAAAGAAAGGTGAAGGGACAACGTACAGAGACATACAGTCACTAAAGGGTAAGAAAAAAGAGAGCAGTATGAGATTTAGTGATGCCATTTTAGATTGATGTTCCTAAGGCTGCAGCTAAGGCTGAATTTTATTGTCAAATAATCTTCTGATTATTTTCTAAAATAATTAATTGACCATTAATAAAATGTGGACACAGTGAAAAATGTCCAAGGTGACCTCTTCATATACCAATTTGTTTTTTAGATCAGCAATCTAGGGCCCTAAAGTATGTCACAGAAGATCAAGGAAATCTGAAAGTTTTTACATTTGAGCAGCTTATTGATTATTTGATTGTCAGATTGTTTCTGGTGCATTTTCTTGTCATTTGACTGATTTAACTTTTTTTATTTTGCCTTTATCTTACCAGGAAGTCTCCTGAGATACAATCTCTCTTTTGCAAGAGAGACTCATCTTAAAATGGATTTTTTCTCATCAATCTATGCACAATATTCCATAATGTTAAAGTGAAAACAGGTTTTTCAAGTGTTTTGAAAAATGTATTAAAAATAGAAGACTGAAATATCCCATTTACATAAGTATTCAGACCCTTCACTTAGTACTCGGTTAAAGCACCTTTAGCAGCATTGACAGCCTCAAGTCTTCTTGAGAATGAATTTGCACGCTCGGTACTTTTTCCATTCTTCTTGGCAGAATCGCTCAAGGTCAGTCAGGTTGAATGGGGAGTGTTGGTGCACAGCCATTTTCGGTTCTCTCCAGAGATGCTCTATTGGGTTCAGGTCTGGACTCTGGCTGGGCCACTCCAGGACTTTCACAGAGTTTTCCTGGAGCCACTCCTGTGTCTTCTTAGTGGTATGCGTTGGGTCGTTGTCTATGGGTCTGGATACTTTCCATACTGACTGTATAATGCAGCACCATAGTCTAAGACCTTTAGAAATGTTGATTGAACACGATGTTTTCTTGCTGATATAGGGAAAACATTTTTTAAATGAAAATAACCTAATTTAAATTTTGATTTACTGAGTGATTGTTTCAGTTGCAGATGTTTCTGCTACAGTGGCTTTGCAGTAGCTTTATAGTAAAAGATCGCTTTTAGAATAAATCAGATTTAGCAGAGAGTAGAGTAGTGTTTCTTTCCACTCAAATTTTAATACAGCAGCTTTGTTTGCTTTTCCTCATGCTTGCATTTATATTTAAATGCTGAAAATGTAGTCATACAAAGCTACATACTGCCAGAAAAATAACTTTGTTGCATCAGTTAAATGATGAGCACTTAGTTTCACATATTTTGTTACATAAAGCCTTTTTCAGTGCACCATGCACTTTTCTCATGCAGTACTTACTCTAGATAATATTGCCCATCTTCGCTGCATGTGTTTAATGTGCCTCAGTGCCTTTATTGTTAGTAGAAGAGGGAGGCAGAGGGTGTATTAGACCAGTAAATACTGAATATTTGTTTGAGTAAGTGTATCTTATGTTTTCTGTAAAGACACGGACTCCTCCCTCATCTCTCCTATAGAATAGGACACAGAGGAAATAACATTTTGACACTTGGGATATGACTTGCGTCTTTTCATTGCTGTTGATTACTATGCAAAAGACAGGTAGACTGAGGAGAGGACAAGCAAACACTCAGAGGTGTCTGTCAATATGCAGTGGACACTCCACGACAAGTGTTCATATGTCCATATGTCATATGTTTGATTTGAGTTG